TTTCCTTTCTAAAAATTGTCAAAAAATTTTGTTCCCATTTCAGAATTATGGGAGTAAACCAATCCACAAATCGAGCTGCAAAGTTTAGCGGTAGTACGCGAAAGAGCATACGCTTAACTCAGGGAGGTTCGTTTATTTTCCCGTCCTTGAATTTTTCCATTTTTTACTCAGTTTGAGCTTTTTAGCCCCAGCGAGTGCTCCAACAGTACGTCGTCAATTATCACAACGAAACATAAATAGGAATGTTAAAGAATTTTCAAGGTTTTGGTCCGGAGGTGAAATTAACTTTTATGATATTATTTGGCAAAGGCATAAGAGTTTATTTTTAGGTGGCTCATTTCGTCCAAAAGGTACCAGTGGAAACCGACGAAGCGAATCAGTTAGGAGGAGTAATAGCGTGCGCAGAAATCGGCCCCAATGTGAGTCAAATTTTCTAAGCCTGACCCAATTGTGGGCATGTACTTCCCACCAATCCCAAAGCATCATTTTCAACTTCACAAAAACTTATTTTTTCAGCTGCCGAACCATCTCGAAAATCGTCAAGAGGATTACTCACGCCAGTGTCCACGCCACAATCAACACCTCGACCCATGCACAACTCGTACGCAGCAAATGGCCCATCTTTGCCCCGTCCTGCGCCGGGACCAAGAAATTTTGAACCTTCGCTGCCGCCCCCTCCACCTCGTTATGAGTACCACGACGATGTTATAATTGACAATGTTCGAGCTCGTATATTCGATAGTAATCCGGAACGATTGCATGCTTTACAATTTCCGCACGAGACCGCCATCTATTGATTTAAACGTTTTTTGTCAGGTTCTTTTGAGTCGTGCTTGTTGAGGAGGCGTGGTTGGCTGTTTTGTCACATCGACCACGCCCATTCATTGCTATTTACGGGTATCTTCAGCTGTTCATAATTTGACTTGTTGGAAATTTCCAAGATGCAGAAAAATTTCAAGGGTTTCGATAACTTGAGAGAAATACTTCCTATTATTCTTTGAGAGTTGGCAATTACTAAGTTTTCAGGCTATACCCATATTTTGCATCGCTCAGGTTTTTTTCATTTCGGATTTTTTTTTGAGACAGTTGATGGATGTAACTTTTCCCAATCAATAATCGATCTTCTGCAATTTCCGCTTTTGATACTCTCAGCTCTCATGCAAAACTTTGATCCTCACATCATATAAGGTTTCGAAAACGCGTTATTTTTGAATGGATTAAGTGGGAAAACCGCAGGGGCAAGGTAATTTCTCGAATTTGCCAACCAAAATGGGTCCCATACTAGGAAAATTGAAAATCTCAATAGGAACAAATTGTTATCTTTCTGACCAAATTGTGTTATATTACCTTTACGCAAGAATTAATTGATTACTCGCTTCGTGCAGATTTGTAAAATGTATTTGATCTATCAATTAATAAAACTTTATTACATTTGATATGGTACATATATTGGACATCACAGAAATTATACCCGGAAGTCAATATATCGATTAATGAATAAAGGTAGAGTACGGAGAAAATACTGATTTCTAGTCTTGTTCCAGACAATTATAGTTTGATCAAGGGAGGCAAGCCTAGCCTAAGTAGAAAGTCCGGGAAAATTAGAAATGTCATAGTGATGGCTGAGAGATTCTGCTCAACCCTAGCATATAAAGAAGTACCCGCAATCAAAAACTATTAAGGCAACTCAATGACTAGAATCAGAACACGGAAAAGAGCTGCAATGCAATTTTCTACCATGTAAATGCACGATTGATTTGCTGGAAAAATTTGCGATTCTCGCTTTCGTAGAATCGTTTCAATTTTCGGAGAACGTCTGGATGTATCATGGGATGTTTTCTTCCTTTCGTTTTGCCCAAGCAATGTAAGGAGCCATCGGATCGCCGAACGCATGGAAATCCTTTGATTGGGTCGACGCCAAAGTTTTCTGGCTTCACTACTGGAAATATTGTTTG